AAGGGTGGCGCAGGTTTGTTCATGACAGGGCCCCGGAAATAGATATATCAGAGCTCGAGAGTCTTTTTTCTGCAAATTCAGATACAGCTGCGAAGAAAAGCACAGGTCGCCGGGGTCCTAGTATCAGCAAACCTGACAAAGTTCAACTGGTGAGGCACTCAGATTTACCTCTAACACATATCAACATCTATTATATGTAAACGACAGTTCTTTAAAATTCGAAATACTACCCAGAGTAAGATCTTCTAAGCAGGTATCACCTACAACTATAAAAGCAGTAACCAGATGCTTTTTGATGATCTAAAGTTAACTTCATTTTTTGGTTTCTAGAAAAACATTTCAATTGATATACTTTGCAAATTGCATTTATTCAGTCAAATGGGTAGTATATATGAAATATAAATGAATATGATTCTTGCCCTCTTAGTTTACTTATCTTTCCGTACTATTTTTCTTTCTCTATGTTTGTATCAGGTTGACCTGCGAAGAGCAAATAACTGTGAAATAATGCTTACGAAAATAAAGATTCCTCTACCAGATATGCTTGTAAGTATATTCTGTCAGTATCTTTTCTGCCCTTCATTTTAGCATTGAAATAATAGCGTAAGGTTGATGTTTAGAGAGAAAAATGCATGAAAGTTGTCTTTTTAGTGTTTACATATCTTTATCTAACATCTTACTTAGTTGCATATCTTTTACATCATGTTTACATATGTCTACTTACTGAGAATTTCATTTCTTTTTCTTATCCTAGAGCGCAGTTCTAGCCTTAGATTCCTCAGCTCTGGATATCGACCAGGTTGAAAATCTCATCAAATTTTGTCCGACCAAGGAAGAAATGGAATTGTTGAGGGTAATCTTAAAATTTATTTTCATATTTCTCTTTAGTTTACAGGTTATATTTGGCGTGTTTGGCTTCAAAACCCTACTCTCTTTCCCTTCTGAAGAATTTAGCTAATTTGGTTTTCAGAACTAGCAAACTCGATCAGAATTGAACCAAATCAAGATCCTGTTGATTTTATGCCTTCCTGCAACTATTTAACGCCTGAAGCTAACTCATGCTGTTTTTGTTTTCAGAATTATGCTGGTGACAAAGAAATGCTTGGAAAGTGTGAACAGGTTTGTTCCAGTTCTTTTAGCGGTGGATGATAATTGTTTATAATTTGCGTTCTGATTATTTTACTTTGCAAATGTACCAGTTTTTTATGGAACTAATGAAGGTTCCACGTATAGAAGCAAAGTTACGAGTGTTTGGTTTTAAGATTACCTTTGCTGCTCAGGTAGAATTGTCAAGCACTGTTAATTTTGGTCTCTCCTGTCTTAAGATGTGTTGTAAGTTATGATGTTTTTTTGTTCTTTTCAGGTGGAAGAATTAGAAGGTTACCTGAATACGATAAACGCTGCTACTAAAGAGGTATAATGGAGGGTGAGATCTTCTATGTCATGGTAATATATCTCCATCTTGGTTACTAAGTGTTATATTCACGTACCAGGTGAAGGAGTCTGCAAAGTTACGACAGATTATGCAAACAATTTTAACACTGGGAAATGCTCTAAATCAAGGAACTGCGAGAGGTATTAAGTTTTCCTATTGATTTCCGATTTCATGATTTTCTCCGTTAGCGTCTGTTAGTGATGTTGTGCTTTGTGTTGCAGGATCTGCTGTGGGTTTTAAACTGGACAGTCTTCTTAAATTGTCTGATACTCGTGCAAGAAATAACAAAATGACTTTAATGCATTACTTATGCAAGGTAGAAATGGTCCCACTTAATTTTTTCTTATCATTATAGTTTCAAAAGGTAACTCTGTGCGTAAGGTGCTGTTTGAATACGAACTGAATGCCTTATTTTCTTATAATTGTTTAGCTTGTTGGTGAGAAAATGCCAGAATTGCTGGATTTTGCTAATGACCTTGTTCACTTGGAAGCTGCCTCGAAGGTACGCTGATTATTCATGGTAGCTTCTTTTCTTTTCCCAAGTACTAGAGCTTGCAATATGAGCTACCCCCTTCTAATTGCACTTTCCATTATTGTTTTTTGAAAAAATGCAGATTGAATTGAAAACTTTGGCTGAAGAAATGCAAGCGCTCAATAAAGGCATTGAAAAAATCTTGCAAGAGCTCATGGCTTCAGAGAATGATGGTGCAATTTCTCTGGGTTTCCGGGAGGTGAGCATATGTGTAAATATGTTCTCGATAGGGTAGTTCAGGTATCAGGAATGTGTGCTTTGGTTAATCCATAGGCACATGAGTTGTAAATAATTGCATGATTAAGAGCATTGAAATCTTCGTAGCAATCTCAAATTAATGAGAATCCATTTCATGTTTTTAGGTGTTGAAGGAGTTTCTTCATACCGCTGAAGAACAAGTTAAATTGCTTGCTTCCTTATATATGGAATCGGTGAGCTATAACTATCAACAGTTAGAACTTTTTGGACATGCAATTCGAACTCATGTCCCATTCCTAATATTGGTTTTGTGATTCACAGGGAAGAAATGCAGATTCCTTGTCGCACTACTTTGGTGAGGATCCAGCTCGATGTCCTTTCGAGCAAGGTACATGCATAAATCTCTTCTTATATTGTCTAAAGCCATTCTGTGACAAATAAAACTAATCTCTGTTCTGAACATTGTTCCCATCTGCAGTGACCAAGATTCTGACTCTTTTCATGAAAACGTTCATTAAATCTCGAGAGGAGAATGAAAAACTAGCCGAGGCTGAGAAGAAGAAACTGGAGAAAGAAGCAATCAAGGAGAAGTCTGCGACAAAGAAAGACGCTGCGGACAATGACAACGAGCTTAACCTCCAAATCCATAGACATAGAACATGAACAAAAGATCGGTCTTTAACCGAAGACCCCGAGGGTTTTGTAGGAATGGAATGTTGCACATACCGAAAAAGAGCAGAGAGATCTTTCCTAGATCTTAGACAAAGTAGACAACTTCTAAAGATGTTTAGATGGAAGTGTAAACTATCTATGATCACTTTCAGTGATGTAAAAATCAGAGGTTCGTGTTTATGTCCCCGAGAAAAGTTATACTATCTTCACTGTGCAGACGAAAACAATTTTTTTGTTTTCAAAAAATTAATAAAATTTTCTTTACATTTTACGTGTCTGCATAACACAGTGCAGAAAACTAATGAGGCATTGGTCTTGTCTAAAACAAGATTTGCGCTTCTTCTTCTTCTTCTTCGAGCTATGTATTTTAGTTTAGCAATTATATAGACTCAAGACAGAGCCGAGGAAGCAGAGGAAACTTCATCTCGAGGAACTTCCAAAATTGAGGAAAAAATAAGAACCAAAAAATGGAAACATGTTTTTTTTTTCCCCAAAATTAAGGGGAAATGGTAATAAAGCCTAAACCGAGGGCATTTAAAAAAAACTAGCAAACAAGAGAAAACGAAGAGCAACGCAGCTACTCGAAAATTAGGGTTGAAGTTGATCCATTCATAGTGTGGTAAGCTCTGGTTTCGTTTAACCTAACACGCAATTTTGAGGACAGTTTTTTTTTGCTCATACGGAATTTGAGATACACTTTCTTGTTGTGTATCCTTAGATATGTGTATCTCTGTTATGCGTGTAAGACTTAGGCTCTGATTGGCAAATAAACTTTTAAAATTGTAGAGACTTTAGAAAAAATTAAAAGTCTTAAAAGTCATTAATTAACTAATCAGACTATTGATTTAACAGTTTTTAAAGTAAAAAAACAGCTCCTAAAATTTCTCACGGCTTTCTCTCTCTATTTTTTCACGTAATCTACATTTAAGTTTTAAAAACCTAAAAATGTGGTTTTTTTTTTTATTTTTTAAAGTCACAGCCATTATTTTACAGCCAAAATTCTTTACAGCAACAGTCAAAAATTAAAATTAACAGCCACAGTCTTTCCCAATCTGACCCTTATCTGACCCTTAGTCTCGAATTATTAACTTTATAGATGGATCAAAAAGTATACGCTCGTCTGAATTGAGATGCTTCAAGTGTAGTTATTTCCAAAGCTTTTTTTCTGTTCTTTTGTAGAGATGACTTGCTTTGTTTGCAAGTCTTTTTTTAGACAAAAGTAGAGCTAGGGATAACATTTGAATTCTGATGCATGCAGAGACTATGGCGAAGAACAAGGGAAAAGGAGGAAAGAACAGGAAGAGAGGAAAGAATGAAGGTGAAGATGAGAAGCGAGAGCTTATCTAATAAGGAATACGGGCAAGAGTATGCACAAGTTGTTCGTATGCTTGGCAATGGCCGATGTGAAGCTGCGTGCATCGACGGGAGTAAACGACTCTGCCATATCCGTGGTAACTTGCACAAGAAGGTTTGGATTGCAGCTGGTGACATCATACTTGTTGGCCTGAGGGACTACCAAGATGACAAAGCTGATGTCATCCTCAAGTATTTTTCTGATGAGGCAAGGCTTCTCAAGGCGCGTGATGAGCTTCCCAAGAATATCCGTCTTAATGAAGGTCTTGTTGGTGATCTCGATGAAGATGATGGTAATGAAGGCGATGATTACTTTGACTTTGAGGATGGGGAAATTGATAGTATCTAAGTTTTGTTTGGTTGGCCTATTTATGAGAAACGGAAGACTTGGTGTTACTATTAATGTGAAAAAGGTTAAAGATTGTTATGTGTTTCAGTTTCTTAGACATAGAACATGAACAAAGGATCCGTCTTTAAAGCTTTGTTTTGAAGGAATCAAATGTTGCACATACCGAACAAGAGCAGAGATCTTTACCATATCATAGACAAAGTAAACAACTTCTATGATGTTTAGATGGAAGTGTAAACTATCTGTGATCACTTAAAAATGTTGTATTATCTTAACTGTGCAGATAAAAACAATTTCTTTCTTTCAAAAGAATAATAAATCTTTCTTTCTTTACATTTTACTTGTCTGCATAAGATAGTGCAGAAAAATAATCTGAGGCATTGTTCTTGTTTCAACAAGTTCTACAATTGTTGTCCTAACACAAGATTCTCGCTTCTTCTTCTTCTTCTTCGAATAATTTATTCAAGTTTTGCAAAGATGAATACTCAAGACAGAGCTGAGGAAGCAGAGGAAACTTCATCTCGAGGAGCTTCCATTGGAAGTATCTGTACAGATGGTACGTCTAGAGGTTTTGTTCTCTTTGTTACAGTCAGTTTCAACCCTTCTGTAGTGTGTATTGTAGCTCCTGTAGTCATTTTCACCTGTCCCATCCACAAAAAGAATGTCGATAAAAGAAGTAACTGTTAATGATCTTTCAGTTTTGCATTTCAAGTCTTATCTTAGATCAGTTTTAGAAATCTGTGTGTATCATTGACACCAAAGAGGAAGAGTTTGCTGATGACCATACCGGAGGAGCTCCTGGTGCTGTCTGAAAGTTAAATCTTCGAATAAGCATTGCGATTGCTACCACATTCTACAAAACAGAGATCTCTGTCACTATAAAAAAAAAATATCTGAAGGCAGGACAAGTATTGATGTCAATTGATTCTCTTGCCTCAAACGAAGCAAACATGTCTCCTATGCATTTCCGAGGTCCTCCACCAAATGGTAAGTAACTGTAGAAGAAAAAGTTTCCAGATATAATCAAATCTAATGAAATGAGAGGTGATGAGGAAAAGAAGTCTTTTTTTACCTGAAGTTTTGGTTTGTCTCATTTGGGTTTGGTCCATCTAGAGGCCATCTCTCAGGATTGAACTTTTCAGCGTCATCCCAATGAAGAGGACTTCGATGTAGATTCCAAACAGAGATGAAAATATCCTCTCCCCTGTTAGTTTTCCAAACACAATCTTTTATCAGAACTCAGAAGTTGCATTCTTGAACGCAGACAAACAATAACCAGTGTTCGAAGTTTCATGACCTTTTTATGGGGTAAGGTCCAAGCGTATCGTTCTCAAGAGAACGACGGATCAGTACTGGTGGTTGTGGATATAGTCTCAGTGACTGCACAACATCAAAGTAAAAAGGTAATCCAAAGACCATTTTCCTTCAACCAGTTAAAATTCAATTTGCCTTTTACCTCATTCATGACTCGTGTTGTGTATTTCAGTTTCTTCATATCTTCTATGGTTGGGAATCTATCTCCAATAACAGAATCAACCTGCATAGAATCAACTCATCCTTTCAACACGTGAATGTTCTTGTAAGATCATATGCGAGAAGGATGTATGATCAATACCTCTTCTTGGAGTTTCGCAACTACGCTAGGTTCCTACGATATCAACAAAAAGTTTTTATAAATTTTCTTTGGGAGCAAATTTACTGTTTGTTTAGGTGTATATATATCTCCATTCTGTCTACCGTTGTTAGAAGGTAAAATGTCCATGTTAATACTGCAGCTGATGTTTCATGTCCGGCTATAAGCATTGTCATCAAGTCATCACGGAGCTGCTTGCTAGAGACCTGAAACAAATTGGTAAGAAACGGATCAGTTTAAGATCACATGAAGCTGATAGCTGTAAAGCTATTGGATTTGAAAAAAAAAAGACGATTATTTTACATCATCTCCTGACGCCAAAAGAAAGTGAAGGATGCTAGGATCTCTTTCGTTCATATATTCCTCATGAAACTGCAATTCCTCTTCTTCTACCATTCTCTGTTAAGAAAACAAATAAGAAGAAAACAGAATGAGGATCCAAAAGAGTATGAACAATTCTTGGACTTAATGCTGAGTTATACCTTGCATGTTGCGATCAAATCATCAAGTGTGTCATTGATCAATTTGAGAGAAGTAGCAACTTTCCTCTGACGCGGGGAAATATCTTTCCAAATCGGTAAGTCCCAAACAGGAATAGGTGAAACACTTCTATCTTCAGCTTCTCTTAGAACAGTGTAAACTGCCTAACAAAGAGAACACGAAAAGCTTTCACTTTTGCTGATCCAACACAAACTGAACACAGAAGGGATAATCATGAGAGAACCTCGATCACACCGGTATCATTTGTTAGGGAGTCAAAGTCGTAATTGAAAACCGCCTTGCCAATAATATCAAGTGTCAAACGAGAGAAGAGTGATTCCATCTCTACTACTTCCCCTGTGGATGCAGCAGAATCAAGCTTCTGGCAAAGCCTATCTGAAGCTTCTCCAAATAAGCTGATCATAGCTGCTACATACTAAACAACACAGAAAAAAAGAAGTAAACAATGATATTTTCCAACTTAGAAAGGACCATGCTTTAACTTTTTCATTCTAAATATGTTCCATAAATTGGTTACCTTCTGATGCAATGCGGGGACAATCGCACGTCTTCTCCTACGCCATATCTCCCCATCAGCTGGTATGAGTCCTTTTCCCATCACAAAATCTAGAATTTCAGCTAAAATCCCCTAAGATTTACAAGTAGATGTATATAAGTAAAAGCACCAAACTAGACCATCAATGGCTAACTTATTAGTGATAGTGTTTTTTTACCTTGGAGTAAGCTTTTGCGTTGTCCTTCAATATATGCTTAGCAATAGAAGGATCCGACACGATCAAGAATGACTACCGACAAAAAGACAACACAACTATGCTTAACCAATACTCTTTCCCTTAGTAAGAAAATCAGAAGATAACACACAAAACACAAACCTTTGGTCCAAAGGTCAACCTGAAAATTCCACCATAAGTAAGGAAAAGCTCATACAAAGGGATGAAGAAAGCTTCGTTCCGGACTGCCTGAATCGAGCCTTTAGCCTCTGGAACCTTGGGGTAGTCTTCGTTAGTGCCGGTCCAGTCAAACATGAAATCCAGAACATTGCTGGGAATTCCAAGCTTCGATAAACCACTCTTTACTGTAGATGGAAAACTTGTAGAAAGCAAGAAAAGAAGAAAACACCAAGAACCAAAAGCACATGTTAAATCACAACACATCAATTCCTGAATCAATGCTTGTGCCTAAAACTGAATGCTACATTAGGATTATCAATCATCTTCTTATCTTTAGAAACTCCAAAACTATTCCATTGATGAATCCTGAGCTAAAATTCATCAAAAACTATTTCATCTATGATTCCTGAGCTAAACTCAATACACTAATCTATGCTTCTGGTTTTATTTTGAGACAAGTTCTTGACTGAGATTACACAAAAAAATAATATTTTCTCCACTACCTATATGAAAATCAATACGAAATCAATCACTTTCATTTCAGTTTTTGCGAGCCTAGAATCACGAACCTATGGGAAAAAATGCAGATTGTTAATTCGAAATTCACCTAGATTTTCGTACAGTGAACGCTCCAGAAGCAATCCGAGCAGATAACTCAGCACGACGCTTCTCCTCCTGAAGCTTCTCGAAGCTTTTCACGCCATTAGGCACTGACTTCTCCTCAGAGGGATCTCTTCCATTAGATGTAGAAGAGAAAACTACGAGCTTCGGTCTCCGAGGATGCGTTACCGGTTTTACAGAAACTGGAGTATAAGAAAGAGGAAACGCCATAGCCATACGCCTCCGGAACAAAAACAAAAATCTCAGGTCACAGAGCTCACACTAAATCCAAATCGAGAAAACCATTACAGAAATTTTGAAAAATCAAATTTGGATGAGAGTTTTTTTCTGTGTGTGTTATATTCTGAAAGACAAACAGAGGAAAGATTTTTTGCACCGAGTCCGAGTGTGAAGTAGAGAGGAAGAAGAAGAAGATGAGAGAAAATGTGACGTGTGCATTTTACTAACGTATACGCATTATCTCCTTTAGTGTCGCTATTAATTTAGCTTTATTACTCCCAAACTCTTAAGGTTTTTTACATATTCTTTTCTTAACACATCTATAAGCACAAACTCACGCGCCTGAAATTACAAAGCCTTGGAAGTTTTGGGAAAATGACTTCCACGCGCTTATTATGCGCGTGTGATAAGATGCGTCAAGTCATTTTCAGCGTGTGTTAGTGGATTTGTAATAAATGTCAATGGACTGTACTATTGGGCCTTTGGTATATAAATATGGGCTTTAATTGAGCCGGTTTCGTCATTCGCCAGGGACAAACCAAACCGGACCTAACATTATTCCAGATTGAACCGAACCGAACCGGACTGGCTTTTGTAGCTTTGTTCATCTTCTTCTTCCACAAGTATAAACTGTGGCGGAGCCGGAAAATTTCAGATGAGAGCTCTGGAATTAGTTTTACCGCCATCTCCGGCATCTCTCGTTCCTTCTTTCAACCACTCCGCCGCTCAGATCGTCGGAAATGACGTCAGAACCAACTTCGATGTTCAGCTTTTCCTGAGGAGACCGAAACACCAAATATCAGAACCCGTCGTCGTTATTCAACCACAGATTCAGATAGATAGAGCTCCAAAATCGAATCCTAGATGCTCGACTTCCGATATTCTCCGACTAATGGACTCTCTTTCTCTGCCTGGAAACGAAGATCTATACTCTTGTCTCGCCAAGGAATCAACCACCGAATGCGATCAACGTGGAGCATACGACCTACAAGTGCATATCATGAACTCCAGCGTAAGACCCAGGACGACTTTTCTCAATCGTCTTCTCTTAATGCACGTTTCGTGTGGGCGTCTAGATATCACACGCCAAATGTTCGATAAAATGCCTCAAAGAGATTTTCATTCCTGGGCAATCGTTATACTCGGATGTATTGAAATGGGTGATTATCAAGACGCTGTTTTTCTCTTTGTCTCGATGTTGAAAAACCAGAATCGTGTTTCCAAGATCCCTCCTTGGATCATGGGCTGCGTTTTAAAAGCGTGTGGTATGATCAGAGATTTGGATTTGGGAAAACAGGTCCATGGCTTGTGTCAGAAGCTAGGGTTTATAGAGGTAGAAGATTCGTATCTCTCGGGTTGCTTGGTACGTTTCTACGGAGAATTCAGGTGTTTGGAAGACGCGAATCTTGTGCTAAACCAGCTCTCTAATGCGAACACCGTTGTTTGGGCAGCGAAGGTTACTAACGACTACAGAGAAGGACGGTTTCAAGAGGTGATTCTTGATTTCATCGAAATGGGTAAGCACGGGATCAAGAAGAACGTCTCGGTGTTCTCTAATGTTTTGAAAGCGTGCACATGGGTCAGTGACGGTGGGAGAAGCGGGAGAGGAGTGCACGCGAGTGCCATAAAGCTCGGGTTCGAGTCAGATTGTATGATCCGATGTCGGTTAATTGAGATGTATGGGAAGTATGGGAAGGTGAAAGATGCAGAAAAGGTTTTCAAGAATGAGAGAAGCGTTAAGTTGCTGTAACGCTATGGTCGCTGGTTATATGCAGAATGGGTTTTACGTTGAAGCCATTAAGCTTCTTTATCAGATGAAAGCAACTGGATTACAAGTAGAGGACACACTCTTGAACGAAGTCAACCTGAAGCCCACTTCTAGATATAACAAACTATAGATAAAAGAAAATGATGAACTTTGTATGTAAATATCTATATATATAAGAAAAGAGAAATTAGATGAAAAGAGAAATCGATTGTCTGGTTTACAAATATTTGTTTCATAATGAAATAATGAACAAAAACAAAAATCAAGATTGGATTCATATACCGAGAATGGTTCGGATCTGATCGGGTGGATGTCGTGCAAGAGATTTCGGATCTGGATATCCGTTTTGTTGATCCGTTACGGCTCGGTATATAACTTCGTAATCTTCAGCTAAAGTTTTAGCGACACGGACACAAGCTTCGGACCTGAGTTTAGGGACTTGTATCAGCTCGAACTCAGGAAGAGAGCCTTCGCTTCCCAGAACGAGGCCGAAGAAGGCCTTGAGGCATTCGGATAGCGTCGCAGGTGATGTGTTTTGTCGTTCAGACAAAGGAAGTTCGGTTGTGGAAGAGCGGAAGATTTGCATTTTGTCTGAAAGACCACATTTTTGGAGGAGTGCGTCGACTTCTCTCTGGACGAGGAGGTTTATGTGGTTCTCGATCATTGATCCGATGTTGGTTACGTATTGGGACGCAACGTCGTGTCTTAGCAACGGTTGCTCCATCGCGCATAGACAGTTGATGAGGAATATTTTGGAGGGTGTTTCATTGTTCTGTAAAAGGAAGATACAACCTTAGGAAGTCTTTTCAGGTTAAAAGCATTTGATGCATAAGTTTAAATGATACCTGTGGTGGGGACGGGCTGCTAGAGAGTAGAGCATCAACAGAGGTTAAGTGACTCGAGTCTGTACTTGCTCTACTACTTCTTCTGGATAATTGGCCGGTCATCTTCGATTTGTGCGCCTCTGCAGCTTGCTCGCACATCTGCGGATTTGAAAAAAGTTGAGAAACTTGCTTCAATGCACAATCATGGGTTTTGATTCGAAAAGATTATATTATCATTGATTTGCTCCTACTTTCGCGTACCTTGATGATTGGGTCAAGCAGTGCAGAGAGGACGGGATCAAAAGCCGGTTTCTTTCCTGAAGCGGAAACCATCATGCTGTTATAATTCTCGATTATCTCAAGAGTTAGAGAAACTCCTTCTCGTACAGCTGGAGGCGGAGATAGATCAATGGCTACAGGTGGAGGGTATCGTAGAAGTTTCTCCCCTCTGGTTTTGAGAATGTCGAAGAATGTTTTCTGTGCAGCGTCCTTTACCATCCCAATTGTATTACACAGAGCAGTGTCTCGCCCAAGTAAATCTGAGATCTGGATAGGTGAGAAAAAAACCAATGATGAAACCATTTACAGCGATAAATGCTTTTAGTAGAGCGAAAAGTTGAGGCTAACTTAAAACTCACAGTGTAGCTGTAGAATTCCAAAGTGTTGGTGAGTTTATAAGAAATGATAAGGCTTGGTTGTGACTGCAGAACTTGTTCGACTCTCACTTTAAATGGCCGGCAAACTCCTTCAAAAATTCTATCCAGAACAAATGTAAAATCAGATTCTGCTATCTTTAGGGAATTATTCTCAGAGGTATTCTTCGCGGTTGATTTATGATCTGCTAAGTCTACATCAAATAAAGCATGAACCAACTCGCTTTCTGATGCCAAAGCCTGCAGCCAAAGAAACATTCACCTTAGAAAAGGAAAAAAAAAAAACAATGACGAGAAATTTAGTCTAATGATTAACGATTATCTAGTACTCAATTCGCACACATGATATATGACAGAAGATTTTAATATGCTACATGTATTGTACTACTGTTGAGTGTAACAAAACAAACCACCATTCTGACATCAGGCGCATCACGATTAAATGCAGGACTCAAAGGAGAGGAAAATGTGGTCACAAACCTGATGTAGCCACCCCAGCATGTCTCCCACGTATCGTAAGGGGTCATGGGCATGAACTTCAATGGGTCTAGGCATTCCTCCAGGTCCTCCACGTGTAAGAGCGCTAATAAACCTTCTAAATAACGCATTATGCCTCAGATTCCCTACCTGTATAATTTGACATAGTTCATGAGGAGCTCCGCAGACATGCTCTGTATCATAACAGTTCAACAGAGACTAGACTTCACTAAAGTCGAAAGACTAACCTCCTCTGCACAACATTTGAAGAGCATGGGTCTCTCTTTGAGACAGCGTACAGCGGTTCTCAAAAGCTCGCTCACCTCTGGGTTATCGGTATCACCCAGTTTCCTACACTCAGCCTGAACCCACCTAGAAGAATCAAGGTTTATTTGATTATATTTAATACGTGATAACCTAAGACTTCTATGAAACACTAGGCTCACAGCAAAAAGAAATCTTAATAGTAAATATTCTTATTTGACAGGTAATGCAAACCATGAAATCTTTTTCGAAACAAATCATCCCCTATAAACCATGAAAACATTTTACAATCAGCCAATGCAAGTTTTGAATTACGATGATCCTCTTATGTATATTTTGGCAAAATGTTTTTGTATGAATGAACTGAACACAATTTCTTTCCATGCTAGAGAATAACATACGTAATGCATACACTAGCAAGATTTAGACAAAGGAAAGCAAACTAACTAGTGTGGTAAAGAAAGATTGTGGGGAAGTTCACAAAACACCAAACTAATCAGGTTCCAAATTAGCAATGACGAATTCATGCTAAATCCAAAGACTAATTAAGCTTCTACCACTTCATACTAAATCCAAACAATAATTAAGTTTCCAACAACAAGTCTTCTTCAGAATCTTGGAAAGAATCAGATATGTACCTGCAAAGGCGCTCATAGGCTCCTTCTTGGTACACAGCCATCATATCCATCAGTTCCAATCCAGCGCGCTGCATAAACGTCCCACTCAGTCAATACTAACCACAGTTCAATTTCGCAAGACAAATAAATACAAAATGCGAAACACAGAGAAAAAAAAAAGGGAAACCCACCTGATGATGCGTCCTGAGAAGTAATTTGCAATTGGAATGAATTTCTTGAACATGAGACAAAGCTTGGAAGAAGTTCTCGTTCAATTCATCTTCCCGAAGCGCTTTAATCTGCGAAATTGCATCAAAATAAGCAACAATCAATTCACACTGCACATGGAAAACACTCATTTCAGATCGGATCACCATTAAGGTACAATGCGAGAGCTCACACCTCTTCGTTGGACAGCTGGTAATCACGAAGAAAGCAATTGACGATCTCCTGCCTCTGAGTAGTGACCTCAAGCTCTTGCTTTAGCCTCTCAGTGGTACTGATGATATCACCGGTGGTAGCTGCCGAGCTGCTTAGCGCCGCCGCAATCTTATCGCAACAATCAGCCAAAGCGTTCACTTCCTCCTCCACGCGATCCAACGCGATCTGAGTCGAGTCAGCCGCGCTAAGGAACTCGCTGTTGATCTGAAGGGCGCGCTTCTCGATCGTCGATCTGAGATTCCGCCGAGCGTGAGCACTGTTCTCGTCATAGAAAGAGGACAAAGCGTTTAGCGACGCCACCAGATCCGGACTATCCGTACGACATTCCAATACCTTCTTCAGTTTCCGAGATAGTCCCGGTGCTAATCCCACCGTCGAAGCCATTTTCACTCTGCCTCGTTCGGTTTTCTTCTACAAACGTTCTCGGAGCATTTGCCTTCTCTTCTTCTTCGATCTCTGATGATTCCTCCTCCTCTTGCCGGAAACGGTCGGATCTGATTTGACTATAATGGGCCGAAAACTCAGTATTAGGCCCATATGATACGAAATCATATGCATCTAAATTCAACACTTGAATACTCCTTTGATTTTAACAAAAAAAAAACAAGTATTACAAATAATTAGATACAAATGTTTCAAAAATTTACAGAATGATCTATTCAACTTTTTGAAAACTAAATGAGATCAAAACTATATAAACCCTAAAATGGTGGGTGGTTAAACTGGTCCATATAGGACCAACCCTGACATCCTGATATATATAGACCAGTTTTAGATCGGTTAAATCCACCATAATCTAGTTAAACCTATTAAATTTTCAATAACCGGTACTACATGCTAGTTCTAATGTCACAGACTCACAATTGGTTAAATCTGAAGTCATCCGGACCACACAAAAAAAATATGCATCCTGCTATAACTCGGTTGGACTCGATCGGCGCAGATTCAATACACAATATATTAGTGGAGAAAACCATTGGTACACTAAAATGAACCTATTAATTCTAGCCTAAAAACAATTTTAATATGGTTTGATTAGAATACTTTAAGATTAACCTCTGTTACCTGTAAATAAACGTAACGTTTGATCAAATTACAGTATGTGTATTTTAATATCTTTTGTTGATAATGGGCGGTGCAAAGTTAATTAAGGATAGTGTAAGAGTGCAAAAAAAAAAATGATTAATCGAAAAAGGAAAAGGGGGAAAAAACAATGGTGGACGAGTTGTGTTGTGCTAACACAAGATGATGATTAAGACAAATAATGATTAGGTCTAAAAATAGTCCAAGTGGGTTTTACGGGCCCGACCAGGCTGGTCTGAATCATCGAAATAACACACGCCTATGTCTAGTTATATGACTAATTAGGCATTTAAATATGAAAAAGATCATGGTAAACATTTTTTAAAAAGGATGTAAAGATATGAACTTATGATGTACTGTTTTTTTCTTTCTAATGTCCAAAGGCGGATTAAGAACTTGCTTTTACCGGATTCAAAATCCCAAAAAAAAATGAGACTAACTTTTTAAAAAATTTTAGTGGGTGTGTTATAAAAATCAACTAAAAATTACATCAATCTTTATTAATAAAATGCGTGCTCGTACCCCTTCACTCACCACACCATACGTCCGTCCAAATTAGCACCGATAGCGAGCGTGCTATAACTTAAATTCATATTTGATCGTGTGCATGTCAAAATTGGCGATAAAAAAAATGTACCAGTGACGTAAATTTCAAAAATCAGGAGCTAAAAACTAAATAAATTAAGTTATATATTATTATATATATATAGAAAAAAAACTAAGGTCTGTATTTGGATTTGGATCTCTTCAAATTTATAGTTTGTATCATTGTATGTTGACAGAATGTTTCAAAGATTTTGTATGATCAACCGAT